AAAAATTTTAGGTACAGGATAACCCCTTTTTTGGGGTTATTTTAACTCCTAATTTAACTCCGAATTTGGGGTCATTTTTACTCCAGAAAAAGAGTTCTTTTTACTCCCAGTCTGGAGTTAAAATTACTCCGAAATGGGGTTACTTGTACTCCTTAGATAGGTTGTTTTTACTCTTTTTGGAGTTAATTTAACTCTGAAAGTGGAGTAAAAATTTTAGGGACAGGATAACTCCTTTTTTGGGGTTATTTTAACTCCTCAATATCTGGGGTCACTTTTACTCCTGAAAAAGAATTCTTTAAACTCCTTTTTGGAGTTAAAATAACTCCACGAAAAATAACTCCCCTGTAAGGAGTTAAATTAGCCCCACTAGAGGAGTTATTATAACTCCCTGAAAATTACAGTGTGTTCTCTGGAAAGAATTTCTTTTTTCGACATGACCGAGTATTTTGAAGTCACTGATTTAGAAAATTCACATTTTGAAAAGTAACCTATTCACCACCAGCTTTTAGCTTTCTGTTATCTTTAACAGAAAGACTGTTGATTGCATGGTTGAGAATAAACATTAAAAATTATTAATGCACAAAGACGGTTTCCTTCGGAGAAGAATACGAACGGTCAAAGATGATAACTAGTGGTAAAATAGAACAGTCGGTTGAATGCCGTTTTTCTATTCTACTCAAACTGTTTCAACGAGCCAAACGTCTGAACTCCTCCATTTTCTGAAAAACCGTGTTGCGACAAGCATTTCTCTCTTGTATACGTTTGGTGAATTCTTAGCGAAATCTTTGAAAATAACCCATTTAAATTTGTTACTAATAACGGAAAAGGCTTTTCAATGGACGGGTTAGTGGAACCTCGTTTATGATCCTCCTTCACCATTCATTGAATTATTCTGTGCAAATCAATCCATATTTTAGTTTATTTGTTATTACAAGTTAAAGAAGTTGAACTTGCTTTGATGCGTGTACTTTTTATCCGCATATAACGGTGACGTGGGTGTGTGGACATTCTTTCCAGGATAAAAAACTGTCAAAAGAAATCTACTGATAAAAAGAAAAACTAACGATTTGGACATCTAATCACCACCGATGTTTACCTTTCTGTAAGCTTGAAGTAAATTTAAATAAAAACTTTATACACCAAGAAGGGTGGCTTCGGGAAAAAATAAGGCCCGAAGATGATATTCGGTGGCAGAAAAGAATAGTGACTGTCTGTTGAACGTTGTGATTCCTTTGACAACAACGAGTCAAACGTTCGAGCTGCTTACAAAGCTATCTTCTTGATTTTCCTAAAAAACATATTTCGACGAGAATTCACGTTATTTACATTCAAATGAAGTAATTTTTAGGCTAAACTGTGAAAGATCGATTTCCTAAACTCTTTTTTTTATTAAGGGGAAAGGCTTTTCCTGGCGCGCGGTAAATAGAGTCTCCTTTTTGAATCTCTTTTACCATTCATTATATTATTCTTAGGTTTTACCATTCATTGTATTATTCTTAAAACTTTATTTTTCAGCTTATTTGTTGATATAACTTAAGAGTCATCTTGTACATGCGTGACCTTGGTATCCGCTGAAAGCCGTGGTAAACGGGTCCACACTCTTTCCAACATAAATAGCACAGCATAAAGTTATTGAAGTGTCTCCGTTAAGTTGAGGACAAGAAATATTGTACACCGCTTTGACTAAAGCGGGACCCACCCTAGAGAGTACCAGCGACGAATTATAGCATGTCGAAGTTTGAAAGTATCAAAAAATGATGCCTTTAAAAAACGGTTTTCTCTTGAAAGAATTTTTTTCGAAATGACCGAGTATGTTGAAGTCAATAATTAACAAAACTAACTTTTTGGAAAGTAACCTATTTACCACCAGAGTTTTGCTCTATAATCAGAGTATAATACCATCAACTGACGTGATCCAACTTACCTTGACTCTGAAGATGACCGCACAGGTTGTCGAAACATTAGTCAATGTCAACAACAACAGTCCTATTCAGGACTACGTCAGTACGCGGACGATGAAACTCAACCTACTTTTGAAATGACTCCTGGATTCGAACCCTTCACATGATAATTAGTGGTAGAAAAGAATACAGTCGAACCTCTCGGTACGGACACCTCTCTAATACGGACTCCTCTCTATTACGGACAGTTTCCAATGTCCGGACAAAATTCTCATATATTTTCTTTAAAAAAACCTCCATAATACCGACTCTCTCTAATACGGACAACGGACACGAAATCTCGGCCCCAGAGAGTAAATTCATAAAAACTTAACCTCTTTATTACGGATACTAGTGTGATCAGGCAGGGTGAATCTCGTTTTTGACCCTCTTTTACCATTCTTTGTATTATTCTTTAAAACAATGCTTGTCAGTTGTTTTAACTTAAGAATCATCTTTTACATGCTTGTGTAACCTTGGTACCCACTTAAAATCGTGCCGTAAAAAAAATAAAGGGTCGACAATCTTTCCAACATCACTAAAAGGAAATTAAATATTTTTTTATCAGTTTGATTACAAGTAATATTGTACGCCGATTCGACTTAAGCAGGACCCAGAATTTTCGAAGAATTACAGCATGTCTCATTTTGCTAGTATTAAAAGTTCATGTTTTTAAAAAAGGTTTTTTTTTGAAAGAAAATCTATTTTTTGACATGATAGAGTAGGTTTAAGTCAATAATTAAGAATCAATAATTAATATTAACTAACGTTTTGGAAACCTGTTCACCACCGGAGTTTAGCTTTCTAAAAAGCTTTAACAGAACTGACTATCGATTGCATCGGTGATAACAAAATTCAAAACACCCTTCATACAAGAAGGGTGGCTTTGGAGAAAAGTAAGACCGGCCGAGGATGATAACTAGTAGTAAAAAAGATTATATAAGATTCCAACACCCTTTTATTTTTCATTTTTTAATTAACTTTTACAAATATTTGCGTGAACCTTTTTATCACATAAAACGAGAAGGTAAGACGTCCTTTTTTGGCTTCATCATGAGCCATTGGAAAAGTTGTTTTGGTCAGTTTGCCAACGGCAAGAAAATCTACATCGACTCAAGTTTGCACCCAAAATCAGATATTCATTATTTGAAAAAGGTTCTTTTGAAGGAAAGACTCCATCCATGACATCCACTAAGTTACTATGGGCATTTCACTTCATTCTGCTGCCAAAGTAGGTGACAGCGCTGTTTTGTTTTTATTCTGTCATTGAGATCCGAGCCAACAGACGTTAGTAAGGCGGCGCAGTGAGTAGAAGGAGTCTTTATAACATCAGTGCTTTTCTTACGAGTGACTGCAAATAAAACCGTACAGAGATGGCGAAGAAGGCTTAGGACACGTTTTGGTTACCTTTTTCTTTGGCCGAAAGTCGAGACAGCTGACTAAAACTGAGGAAAATCGTAACAATTAAAATTAGCCCAGGTAATACTGAAAGCATCAACAGCTGTGGCACCAGGTTCTCGATGCCATGAAACTAAACTATCAGACTTGGCATTAAGCCTTGATGCAATAAAAAGTAGATTACATGAACGAAGGTCAAGCCTGCCTTAGGTCATTAACTTTTGACACCACTCCAAGATGGATCAAGTAAGGTCTACGGCCAATGGTCTCAATCATCCATAAACCCGCCACAAAACCACTTTCTGATAAAAACAATGGGATTAACAGGCAATTTTAAAGGATAAATCCAGATTGGTAACGGGAGAATGATTTTAGCCATTTCTGCACCATGGTGGTTTGGTGACAGATTTGCACCAGTTTGCACGTTAACTTAGGGTGTGTTCCTTTCGGCGAATCCAAAAACGGATTTTTGATCCTAGATTTGCCAGATTTCTCGGTCGAAAGGAACGTGAAATCCGAAATTGGATTTGTAACCTTGGTAACCTTTCGCCAACGCGTGCAATATGCACGACAGCCTCTCAAAAAATGACGTGTTTTCTACTGTTTGACAAATTATGCGATTATACCGTGCAGAATTTAGTGGTCGGCAGTTCGAATAGCTACGATGGAACATATAAAACAGACAAAGAAAGAAGCGCATTAAAATCGAAAATTATCTAAAAATGTCTGCCAGTTTGATCCAGTTCCATAGCTCGGATTTTTTTTATGTAGCACGATCGAATGCCTGTCGCGTCTACAAGCGAGTTTGTAGTTAGATAGCAGTTCATTTGTTACTTTTACTTATTTCTGATTTCATGCAATCTTTAGAGACAAATGGTTAGTATATGGATATTTTAATGTACCAGGAACAATCTTCTAATGTTTTCAGATGTTTTGCGGCAAATGACAGCAACGAGGAAACTCTACGGCCTCTATGGGAATACTTCAACTGGAAATACCACTGGCTCATCTGGTTAATTTCGGATCCACTGTGAATGGTACAGCGTAGATCACTAATCCGTTAATCTGGATTTGGATTCTTCGGATTTCAAATCCAGTGAATCCTTTTTGAAAAAGGATTCACCAGATCAAAAATCCGGATTTGGATTTGCCGAAAGGAACGCGAAATCCGTTTTTAGATCTAAAATCCGTTTTTGGATTCACCGAAAGGAACACACCCTTAACTTAACTACACCCCGGATACGAAATCGTGACTGCAAAATCGCCATTCAGAAACTAAAAGAACAGCTCATATCACTAAAATTTTAGGTTTTTTCGTGTAATGCGTGATAAAATAGTTTGTGAGTCCTAGAGAGTCGATTATATACGATTTTAAAACGTGGTATTCCACAGTGCAGCTATAAGTGCAGTATGAATTGCCCTTCTTAAGTGGAGCCCAGTTGACGCGCAATTTTCAAGATGGCGATGAAAGGCTGTGTTTTTTTGGTGATCCATCAGATGGAACGTAATGTCTAACCGTTCGTCTTGGAAGTAATTTTTGGTACAGAAATTTAGTTGTGGCCTTTTATTAACCCAAATTTAGTAAACAAAATCATGTGAGTGGAAGCCAGGGAATTGCTGAAACAAGACACTGCAGTCTAGTTTTCGTTTGCGGACTTCATTATGCCCGCTTTGGTTGCGTTTAATCGCCGTTGGCGCATTGGAAGTGATGATCTGTTCTTTCCAGCAGCAGTGGGACTAATAATCAGAGTATTATGGTGAGTTTTGATCAGTTTTGATTAACCAGAGTCAATACTTACTCGCTGATAGTACTGGGCTTTCAGTAATTGTGGGTAATAAATTTTCGCACCACAGGGATTTCATATGACAAACAACTGAACACGTATTCAGCACAGATCCGAGAAGAATCAAATAGTAAAAGCTACTACATACATTTACTACATACTATGTATAACTGAAGATTTTTGCTCGTGTAAAGAGGTGCACGTATTACAAGAGAAGGGAGAAAAAAGACTCATCAATTTTTTGCAATAGGTTGGTGATCATATCCTTCATTTATGGTTTCCAAATTGACGAGATCAGAAAATGCAAGGCTTCTCTGGAGTTGCAGGTGTTCTTCATCGGTGTGATTGTTTTAACCAGCCTGATAATCGTTAATGAAATGGCCATCTTATACGTCAGCATGCAGGGAACATTGACCAATGCCAGTTCACGTCGACACATGCCAAAGCTCTTGTATTTTCAACTCACTTTATATTTTCCTGAACTGCTTTGGACAATTCTTGGTACGTACTGGACAGTTAAGCATTTTAGCTATAATTGTCAGCTTGGCTTGGTCGTGGCTGTATGTGTATCAGTCGCTCTGGAGTGGGCTATCCTCTTGACTGTTTTGATTGGAGCTTTGGTGCTGTTTGATCCCTTGGGAAAAGTTCATAGTGACCCTTTTGAACAGGAGTTTAGCTCCACAATGCAAGAGTCAGCAAAGAAGGTATGGATTAGCAGTGAGCTTTAATTGATTATAAATGTGAATAAATGAATGGGTATTTTTTTTTTAATCTCAGCTGAGCGGTCCCTTTGGTGCTAGAGGCTTTAGTTGAGTCTTTGCCACTTGTGTCTTTAGCCTATGGCTGACGACGTGTTAGCCTGCTGCTGGGGAAGCTCCTTGTCACACACTGCATGAGAAAAAACCTCTGGTACCCAGGTAGACGAGAGGGGGAGGAGGTGCCTATTCAAAGGAGGGTGCTTATAGTCAACCCAAGTCAAGCGTACCCCCCAAGATTACATTAATGAATTTATTATTCGAAAGTTGAATCCATTGGTAGTTGTAGATTTCAGATTCATGTCTGCCTTCTTGCATGCGTAATGAGCCGTGAATTCACATGCGATTCAGTTACGAAATTTCTACCAGCTAAGTTTCCCTGAATTTGACGTAAATGTCTTGTATGAAATTTAACCCGTTTAAAGATTTTCAATCTGACCAAATACAGAGAAGTTCTCGTAAAATATTCACTGCGCAGTACGCACGCAGGAATGCCGATTTGAATTTAACACTAGTTACCAGAACGACTAATGGATTCATTTTTCAAATAATCAATTCATTAATAGAATCTTAGGGGGTACGCTTGACGTGCCTCAACTGTAATCCAGAGTGTTGCTTATTAAGTTTCTCTTTCAATGAATGATCAGTACACATGTGTCTAATGTTGCAACCTCAAAAAAAATCTTTTCTAATGGCCACTTTATTCCCATCTGCCTAAAAGCCACTATTGAAGAGGTTCAACTGTATTTTAAACTTACTGATTTTGTCATTTACTTAACAGCTGTGGGAAAGGAGATGTCGCTTACTCTGTTGTTGTTTTGCTGGTAGAGATGATCAATACTTAAGTGCTGTGTCTGATATTGCGGACATTTTAGCATCTGGACTCCATGATGTGGATGTTGTGCCATCTGATGTGGCTGTTGGTCTTATTCTACTGCGAGAAGAGCAAGACAGAGAAGACCGTCAAAACAGGGCTAAAGGGGAGGTGAGTGAAAAAAAGGGGCACTGAACTTTACTCCTCTTTTCTTTGACTTGAATCTTTAAGAATCTGTATTCATCACTTTTCCACCATTTTTGAGAGATTACAGTTTTTGTTTTCGTGATGTTTTCATATTTTTGTCAAGTGTTAGACTGTGTGTTAGACTCCCAAATTTGTAATTTTAAAGGTGATAATTAGTCATGTTATTATTTAATATTAAAATAAATAAATAAAAACTAGTTGACTTGAGGATAATTTGGCCACCTAACATCATGTAAAGGCAACCTACTTAGCAATGTGCCTCCCCAGTGAAACATGATAATTTCAAATGCAAAACTGTTTTCACATTACCTAGACGACATTGTACATGTATGGGCTATCTTTTTGTATTAGCTCTCAAGAATGAATGGTTTCTGATTGATTTCATAAACTTTATAGGGAGATGCAAATTGTTTCTTCACATCACTACTACCCATATTTCAGATGAGTAGTTTTCTCTGCAGACATCAAGGAGAGTTTAATATTAGGGCTAAAGTAACTCCATAAGAATCATGAGATAAGCAATGTAAAATACAGCTTTACTTAAACGTATTTAAGCCTGCAGTGTAGTCCTCATATGCCACCGAGCTACCTGCAACATAGCTGCCGGTGTTACCTGCGATACTGTTCCTATGAGAACAGAGGTCACCAGCAACAGAGGCCATCCCAGCTTTAACTGCTGGCTTCCTATAAAGTTGACTCAAGTTAAACCAGCAGTAAAGACTTGTGATGTTTCTTGTTGCAACAGAATCTGTTTTCTTCACATTCATGTCGGTGGTAAAAACCTGCAATGTTTCTGGTTACCAGTGGCAATGTGTTCTCACAGTAGTTTCTCAGGTAGTACTGGCAGCTCTGTCGCAGCTACAACTGCAGCACGTGAGAACCAGGCTTTAATGTACCTAAAGACATGAATCCCAGACAGCATCAGGAAGCCTCTGACAGAGGATCAGTAAATGCAAGAGCACATAATTGCCATTCAGGTCTTACTTTTTTTCTTCTCTTTTTTTTTCTGCAGATGGCTCAAAAAGGCACTCCTGTAAATCTGAATGACCCTGTAAGTTAAGATGGAGATTTCCATTGATGATAAAAGAAAGTAAAACATTTCCTTGGTCAAGCAGTATCTTCTGGCTAACATTCTGTCTCATGCTCTTTACTGATTATTCATCAGTAACTTCAAAGACAAGTTTTCAAGAAGAAAACTTAGAAAAACTGTAAAGAAGATTTGGAAACTACAATTCATGTCATATTGATTTGATTGGTTGGCTATCTTGTTTCTGTTTCCTATTTTTGTGAACTGTACAGTTTGAAATTTTTCCACAAATTATTGTTCAATTCTTTTGAAATGAGGTACACTGTACCAAACAAGACTCCACTTTGTTTTTCTTGCTTAAGATTGGAACAGTGAGGTTAATACAAGTCTTAACTCTTTTTCTTGTTATTCCATGATGTTTGATTCTAGAAAGAGAAGTCTCTAGTGGAAGATGCAGCTTATTTTATAAAATTTGCCGTGGGATCGTATGGCTGGGCACTGTACGTGTTTATGAATCCTTGCGCGGGACCCTTGAACCTGTGTGGTGGATTAAGGTATGGTACTGCAGGGCTGCATATGTCACTAAGATTTCTTGTTTCCAGATATATGCATTCAGTAGGAAGGAAATCGAACAGTCAGGAAGTTGTGTTAGTTGTATTTCTTTTGTTTTCTATGAAAGTAGCCAGGGTTCATGCTTATAGTTTCAAAGGGAAATTAATACGTGGCTCCCAGCCTTTTATGGTAGCCCTGTTATTGTCAGTAGTACTTGATATGCTGGGCAATCTGAAGCTAAGCAAACAAGCCTTATACACTGTAGGTAGTAGAAGCTCAAGAGCAGTTTCAGGTAGTCACTCTAGTCAAAAATCCAAGTCATACTTAACAAAAAATAAGCACAGAAACTGTGCAATCTTGTAGTAGCCAATAAAAGAAGCGATGAAGTCAGCAGAAAAGTCCCCTGGTGCAATTCCACACATCACCCACCCGGTCCCCTACGTAACCTTATTCAAATTGCTAAAGGCCTGGGTACATTATGATCTGCAGGTGCTGCGGGTGTTGTCGTCCTACCTTAGAACACATCTCCAAAGATAACTGCTGTCATTGCAACTCCGCTGGCCTTAAACTGCAGACTCAACTGGAGGATATAGACTTGGTTTACTGCAGCTATCATAATAAGGTGATCGGGTGCAAAACTACTCGGTATTAATTGTATGATAGTCCTGTGTTACTTATCCTGAAGTGCTCGTGAAGCTTTGATTCATAAATAATTTAGCATTCTGGACCAAAGAGCGTGATGGGTTTAATCGTTTTCTTGCTTGTACTTCTTTGCAACTTTACTTTGCGTTATTTTCCTCACTTATATGTGTTGTCCGTGACTGTGCTCACATGGTGGGTGGCTTCTCCTAAAATGTTCTGCAATTGGTATAGGATTTAATGGAGCCGAAACCAATTGTGGAATTGCACGCCTTTTAGGCATCCTACTGATGAACAGTTGCGACACGTAGATATATATTTTTTAGCAACTACTATAATTTGCAGTCTGTCCACTTTGAATACCGCAATTCAATGCAGTGGTGGGCTAGAGAAATGCACTTTATTTGAGTGTCAGTGTATCTAAAACACACTAATTGAGGGCAATATTTTTACGTTCCCTACTGGAGAAGGGACAGCAATTTTATGTGGTCATCCGAGCCACGCAAAGGTCTAGCCGACTGCAGAGAAAAGAGAGTACCTTCATTTCTCAGTTATTTTAAGACCCTGAGTATTGGGCCGGCCCCGGGAATGGAACCCGTGACCACCCGCTCTGCAGTCAAGCGCTCTACCGACTGTACTATTCCTGCGTCGATTAAAAGCCACGAATAAATGAATATTTTCGCACATATCGATTCGGACTTATCATACTTCATCCGCACACACACACAAGCGCTCTTTTGAGTATCAAAGTAATTTTACCCCGTAGAATTTTTCATAACGATTGCGTTTTTTGTTTGTCCGTATGGATAGAATAACGCATCAAAGGTGTCCTTTTTTTAGGGGAGTGTTCATCCATGTGGAAATCGCCGCCCTATTCTAGAAATCACACTCATCAAACTTGAAAGATTTTACGAACTCTTAAATACAAATTTTTTTTATCTCCTGTCGACAATCAATTTTTACGTTCCTGTTCCTTAGTAAACAGGCAGAATCAAAACGTAGTTGTCAGCTGGTACAAAAAATGTACGTTGTGTGTTAGGAGTGTATCTTGTTATTCTCTTCACTCTTTACAACTCTTGCTTTTAAAATGATGGCTAAGTGCCGTTACGTTCTAAGAGTTCGAAGTCCTATATGTAGAGAAATCTGGATTGAGCGTCAGCCTTGTATAGATTGACGATGGCTAGGAGTGCCTTTTATAATTAACCTGGCTTTCCTTAAAGTGACTTTGACTCTGATCAAGCAGGCGCCCCATTTCAAGTAGTTTAAAGAAACAAAAAGTTATAGTGAACTTGGTTCTTTCCGATTGCAAGTTCAGCAACCTAATTTCAAGCAAGCTACTTGAAAAGGTTGTTTGTTGATATTCTTGCTGTGGCGTTTTCTATTGTATGTTTTCCTACTTTTGCCAAAAAAAATTAATGTTCTTACAGTAACATTGTTTCATGTTTGTTTACCGTTCAAAGTATAATATTAATAATTATAATAATGATGGTGATAATTATGATGATGATGATGTATGGTGATGATTATTACTATGATTATTATAAATTGGTGGTCCTCAGTGTCTATCTCATTTCTCATGCAGAGAAATCAGGTGGTATCCATTACTTTCTTTAATAATTAATTTATTATTGTAAACTGCGCAACAAGCATTCTGACCAAGTTCCCCACACAATGTTCAGCAGTATTTTAAATACGCAGAGGCTAGTGAGGTCGAAAAAATCACTGAAGCAAAATTAATAACTCAAAATAAACACAAAAAGACCAAGAAACTGGCTAGCTGGAGGCAAACCAGTTGGTTATGTACAAACCTTGTCTAGGATTGAATTTTGCACTACCGAGAACAAATGCGGCTAGCGCTTAGAGCGGGGATTGAACTCGGTTCCTCCGGATTGCAGTCCCTACGCCTTAGCCGTTCGGCCATGCTTCCCTCACAAATAAATTTTATTACGTTTTATTGCTTCCTTGCATGCTCTTTACAACCATCGTTCTCGAATGATTCTAGGCTGTTGGTTTCACTGTCTTCTGTCAGTTGTGTTTTCGGCTTTCCTTTTCTTCGTACATCTGCTTTGCCCGAATTTGCAGCTTTTCCTTCGTCCAGTGCTTTTTCTCCTGCGGTCTTAGAAGTCTTTCTAAAGTACGCATTCTTCACCTCAGTACGTCGCTGCCTTGGCATTTTTTTCTCCATATCAGGCGGTTTTGAACGCCTTTGGGCACATACTGCTCCAACGTACGGATCTCTGTCGCGAAATACAAATATCTTGTCCAGCTCGACTAAAATTTCGTCCGATTTTGAGACGATGCTGTCGCCGGGGCTATCGCTTTCATGTTTTGCAACGGTACTCTGCTGGTCGTAACACATTTGTCTATCGAAGAGTTGCGCTGTTGAAGTTGGCGAGCATCGGTCAATTCTTGCGCCCATGACACATTGTCTGCCTCTAAGTCCCAAAGCCTCTTCGGGGTTTCTCGTTTGATCGACCTTCGATCTTTGCGGCCTTCCGCGATAAAGCTTTCCTCGAGTCTTGCTTTCATGGTCATCCCAAGCCTTTCTAGTTACTTTTATTTCCTTGCACATCTTCTTAGCAAGGTTTGCATTTGTTTGACTGGCTGCTTTTGAGGTGGATAAGGACATCTCTTGAAAATTGTACACAATTCCTAACTGAGCTCTAAATTGGAGTAAGATAAAACGATTATTCGCGTTTCAGTGAATATTTCCAATCACCATCTTCAATCTTCATCGTGCTGTATTGATTTACCTTTTACATTTCCGTTGGTTTGTGGAGGTAAACAAAAAAGAGTTAATTGCTTGTAAAATGGCTTGTACTTTTGGCGTCCGTGCTAATTAACTCAATTAACAGAATTCTAATTAAATCCCGCTTTCAATGAAAAGAACGAAGCAACTAAGGATTCAATCGGCGTTTTTATGCGGCAATGAGTAGTTTTAACAAGTTTCTACTCATTGAACGCTATGCAAATTTTTCGTGATTTTGTTATTGACTTAGCGTAAAATACTAGCATTAGCGAAAGCAAATAAGAAGTTATTCCCTTCGACACGTTAATCTTTGTTTCTTGCGTCTCGAATGAATAGTGTCAGTTAAATGTGTCGCTCTTAATCTTACTAATTTGCAAATTCAAAGCTTAGAAGTCAAAAGTACCGGTAAAAGATAGTTTTGTTTGTGAAAAAGAAGAACACGGGAAAATGAATAAAGATTATTTTAGCCTCAAGAGTAAACTCCTACGACTTTTCTTCAGGGAAGAGGATTCAAAGTCGAGCTTTTTCCCGTGTATTACTCAGTTTTACTATTTTACGAATGACATTTTTTAAGATGGAAATTTTCCTCAGCAGTACATTCGTTTCTTTTCGTCTGTCTCTGGACATTTTGCAGAATCCGTTTTGGCCTTTTTTAATGTAATCCGCAATTGAAAGTGGTAGACTCATTTATGGCTCTCTTTATCGTGAATTTTAACTTCAATTATTGTATGACCAGACATTGTGGCGGCAGAAATTTAAAAAAACAATTTTGAACTTATGTGAGAATGTGTAGTAGGTGCATAAGGGTATATGTCGTTAATTCAAAATGTTTTTAATTTAATTCCCCTATTATTCTAACAGGTTCCCCTTTGCAATGGCTTTTTGTAAATGGGGCATTATTTTTCACCCTGTTCCTGTGCCGTGTATGCTTTTTATCCAGGCCATGTGTGGTTCGTTTGCTAAAGAAATGTGGTTAAGCTTTTTTTCTTTTTTTCGTCTAGCTTCCCTCAACCTTCTCTCTTCGTTTTCTTTTCTCCTCCACTCAACCTTTCAATCGCTATCACTCTATCAAAGCACTATGAATTATGTTCTCCCCACCCCACCCCGGACAGGTGTGTACGTGTAAGGGCCCAGTAACGAGGGCGTTCTTTGGGTTTCGATGCGAGGCACCTCACTTGATTGACTTGTGTGAACGCTTTGTAACTCAAAAGTGTTTTGTTGTAGATTTACGAGGTGCCGTTTTACGTAGCAGTGGATCATGATAGACAAGCAGTTATTGTGTCCATTCGAGGATCTCTCTCTATGGAGGTTAGAAAATACAACGCCATAGTTTTATTTGCGGAAAGAGATTGTTTTCAAAAGAACAGGCAGAGACCCTTACTTGTTGAAACTGTATGGTCGACACAGCGAAGAAGCATTTGTCTTGATTTCAGGCTAATTTACAGTAGTAAGGTTTTCTTGAACAGTTTCTCTTCAATGACAAACACTCACCGATGAAATTTACCCATTCAATTTAGCAAGTTTTGCGGTCGTCAAGGAAAATTTAATGGCGTGCATGAAACTTAAGCGAGTGAGAGAGCCGTGGACAGTAAGCCATTTCTGAAGTCTTAAGCCTCTATTTCAAAGCTTATCCTGGTGCCAATCCTTTCTTAAGAAAATGCCTTTTCATTCCACGCAAATGAAACTCATTTTCATTTAAATAATTTGTGCACCTGGCCTCGTTTTGATTAAGAGGCTTAGAGCAACTCGGAACTGGGCTGTTGAAGGTGGCTCCGTAATTAATACAAGAGCATTTAGCTGTGACAAATTTTCCGTCATAACTTTTTGGTTTTTAACGCGATGGCTGCGAAACTTTGCAAAGAACAACAGATATCATTAGGCAATGATTCGAAATATTCCGAGTTCACTGATGGTAAATATTTCTCGAGAAATTAGCGCTTAAAAGGACCCTACTGTTCAAAGAAAATCGCGTCTAGTAAAAATTTTGCTGATATTTTTACTGAAATTTCTGGTATCGGCTTTAATTGATATAATAAATATGCCAGAGGAATTTCAGAAAAATCGTTGGAGCAGAAGTCCGAAACTAAAAGTCGCTCAAAATTCAGCTGTGAAATTGTTTTGGAATTTCAAAAAAAAATTACCATCAGCGAGAAGGAGCCACCAGTTTGAATTTTCGGGACAAGTAAATTCAGTGTTTGCTAATTCTGAAAACAGAAGCCGATTGCCTATCGTGCTATTCTTTAAAAGGTACTGTTCAGTTTTAGAAGCACTATAAATTGCTTCAAAACTTTGCTCTGACTTCGAATGACTTGTTGTCCTTGTTCCTCGACATTTTTAAAATATCCCTTGGCAGTTTTGGTTCAAACTCCTGCTGCACACATTTTGATGTATTGCAATGCATCCTCAACGGCTTTTCCTGCTGTACGTTGTTTCCAATTCAGGAAAAGGTATTGGGATTGTAAGCTACCTTGTATCAAAGCTCAGATAGAACTGTCCAGCACCTTTGTTTATGACCAGAAAATGAGCACGAGCGGCACTTGTGCGAGGAATTCGCACCTCAGCCAGGGGGGACGAATGACAATGATGCCCATGTCTGTGAACCGATCTGTATAAACATGTATTGCAGAGCAAAACATAATAATCAAGAAAAAATACCCATTCATTGAGGGAAGGAGTGACAAAATTTCAGAGTTGTAAATTTATTCACGGGCAGTATTTTTGCGATAATTTTATTTTGGACTGTGATGTTATTCGGTTCACAGGCATGGTCATCGATGTCGTTCGTCCCCCTGTGTGAGGTGCGAATTCCACGCAGAACTGCCGCTCGTGCTCATTTTGTAGTCATAAACAAAGGTGCTGGACAGTTCTATCTGAGCTCTGGTACGAGGTAGCGTCCAATCTCAATACTTTTTCCTGAGTTGGAAGCAACGAACAGAAGTAAAAGTCGTTGAAAATGCATTGCAATACATCAAAATGTATGCAGCAGGAGTTTGAACCAAAACTGCCATGGGATATTTTAAAAATGTCGAAGAACAAGTAATTCTACCTCAGAGCAAGGTTTGGAGCAATTTATAGTGCTTCTACAACTAAACAGTACCTTTTAAAGAATAGCACGATAGGCAATCGGCTTTTGTT